TCAGCCAATGCTCTCTGCAACAGCCACTGTTTCCCAGCATACCACCTTGCTGGACGCTGCCAGATTCCAATACTTAACCATGTAGAGAAAGTCTAGTATGCAAACTAGGCTGAAGGAAGGAAGGCAGCCTGCAACCCTGGGTGGTTGCTGGGAAGCCACAGAGTTAGTTTCCTCATTCATTATTTACTACCTAGCAGAATCGGTGTTCAGGCAGTTCACTAAATATGGATTTCAATCCAACAACATAACAATAAATCATAACACAGCCACTTGTGCAGTTCAGCATACACTAATTTGCTCTCATGCCACTGTATCATGTAGAGGAATCAGACATGGAAACCAGTCCACCATAAGGCTGGGTGAATTTCAGTCTCTTCACTGGCCACATGCAAAGTAATTTAGCAATTCACTCTGGTTCATAGTAATTTCTGCACTGCAGCCTCTAGCCTGCCTGCCCATCTACTTTGCAAAAGCTGAACACTGATGAAGAACCTTGGCTAAGAGCACTCAAAGCCACTGTTGAGCTACAATTGCAAGAATGACAGCAAGACAAAAGAATCTGGTAATATTATTTATTTCATGTTTATACCATCCAATATAGAGTTAAAAATATATAAGCAAATTATGCTGAAATATCTCCACCTGAGACCTTGGAGCACAATGACCCCATGGGAAACTGATATAATAAATAAATTACCAGTTTCCTCTAAGGGATGAAACAGATATAGGAACCAGCCCCATAACTGAAATTGTGATGGTGGGAGGGTCTCAAGGAAATAAATGTTCTCTTATTTGGGGCTGCTCTGGGATGTCAAGACAGGCTTGGCTTTTCTTTTTGATGACTCCATTCCTTTGTATGCTCATTAGGCAAATGCTAGATTGGATTAGGTAGAGACTTTATTCCAAGGAGAGCAGTTTCTTTTTGGCATTTAAACATATATACTGAACTCTGACTGTATACAGATAAATAAATTCTGAGGGACAGGAGTAAATTATGCCTGATTGCTACTATGGCACCTGCTTCTGTCCAAAATGGGTAGTTTGATATTTGGATGAATGCCAATAAGTTCCTTCCAAAACACGCCTGGACATGAGGTGAACCATAAATCACTGAGGGGAAGAGAGTATACCAACCATACGCCTATAAACCAGAAAGAAACAGATGGCAATGAGAATGGACTCCTGAGAAACTGTATCACACCAGAAGATAGCCAGTGTAATGCTTAGACTATTGGACTTGGACTGCAGAGATCCAGGTTTAATGAGAGATCCAGGTTCACTGGATGACCTTGGCTCACTCTCTCTCAAACTAATCTATCCCAAAGGGTTGTTGTGAGAATGCAATGGAGAGGAGATGGACCATACAAAATGGCATGTGTTCCATTGATTGATTGGTTTGTTTGTTTGTTTGTTTGTTTGTAAGAAATGTGGGATGTAAGTACAACAAATAAATAAATCACTCTGTTTCTGACAGAAATGCCTAACTGCTTTAACAAATGTATATTTTTCCTCCTATGGGTGTGGGTCAGTAGGTATCTGTCTGTCTCTCTGCCAGGCAACTGGCTTTCCATCTTTAAAACAATCAGCTAAAATTGTGGCGCCCACTTAGCTCTATCTCTCCCAGTCAAATGAGCAAGCTGCTGCCCTTGATGTCTTTCCAAGCACAGATTCATTTTGGCAGGAGTCTGCAGCTTTCCAGTCCCCAAACTCACTCTCCCCTTTCGCTGGGAGAAACAGCTGTTGGTTTTGTGAGATTCAAAGAGATTCAAGAGAGAATTGGGGGTTCAAGACTTCACAGGTCTATTTCTGACATGGAGGGGGGATATGCTTTTTGGCACGCTGAAACAGGAGAAAAAATAATCAAGATCTGTCTGCTAAAGTATTTGGAGCATGTTGTCTTCAAACCAGAAGAATTGAAACATGGAATCCATACTAGAAGGACAGAGTCCCAAGTGCAGAGCTGTGGTGAATTGGTTTGGTCACTCAGGTTCTAGTGGAAAAGTGGAGCTGACTTACTAGAAAAGGGAAATGAAATGAGAAAAACCTGCTTGGCAACTTAGAGCTTTTCTATATGAACAATCAAATCATATCCCAAGCACAATTTGCTGTTGGGAAATCTTTTCTTCAGTGGTGTGTGGAAGGGGCAAATCACTCTTACAAGAGTTCTGAAGTCAGCCAAGCTCAAAATGAGAAGTAGTATTCCTTTCTGGTTTCATTGCCTCTACATTTGTTTACAGAATTTGCCTTTTCCCCCTTGGGACTAAAACAACAACAAGTCTTCAGCAATTCAAACTACTTTTGCCACTCACAGGAATTAGGGGTTACCTGATCTCTATCTAGTGCCAGTTTGCACCTTCAGATGGCCCAGAAACAAAGTCAAGCAAATGTCTAACCCTTGTAGAACCAGCAATATAAGGCAAAATGTTTGTGGACTATTCCTCATTGCAGGCACTTGCATTTGTAAAGCAGGTTGCATTAAAAGACCCCTTTAAAATAGGTTGCAGTCAGAAACAACACCTGCAGTCAGAACAGTGAGCAGACTTCCCCTGTGTTAGTGAGCTGTTTTTTCCTCTGTTGCCGGCAAACCTTGCTTCAGGATCTTTCCCAAGCTCACAGCCAAGCCCACAAACAGTTCAGGATTTTGTGGTGTTTGAAGAACACTGGCAGTTATTGAAAGAGACATCCATAGGGCTCACTTGTCATTCATCAAGATATTACAAAATATATTGTCTCTTATGAAGGAAGGACAGCAGCCATAGCCAAGGTGTATGGAGTGCAAGGGGCTACTGAAGAGAGAAACTGATGACTAGCTGGTTGCATGGAAGCTGAACAGCCTGCGGGCCAAAGTCAGATAAAAAAGAAAAGAAAATTTCAGAACTGTACTGCTTGGTATAAAACCTTCTCCAGTGATCCAATCCTATAGGCAGACTAGAAGATAAAACTCAGAACCATGTCGCAAACTGTCTTTAGGTAATAAATCACAGTGAAGTGCTTATGGCAGCGTAATACAGTGTTATTTTGCAAAGCCGTTTATTGGCTTATTGACAAACATGCAGTTCCCTTGTCACCTATGGAATGTTTTCTTTAACTGCATGTGCTTGTATACATATCAGGATGTGTATCACTGTGTCTCTTTTAAGCTGTGCAGGTATTCCAAAGTAGTGCAATTATTTTGATGTGTTCAAAATAATAATAGGATCTAAAAATATGATAGACATATATATGCAACACAACCTTTCAAAGAACAGTCAGTTATCATAGCATACACCAATGTGACACACATACATAAATGATAGAAATTGTGTGTTACAGGAAGATAGTATGAGGATGGCATAAGACATGAGTTGTGAGCAATGCAAAGAAAATGAATGCACAAGTATAATCAGAATATCTTAAATGCAGCCATAGCCTAAAGAAAGAAGCAGCCCCTTTCCTAATATGCTACTATTTTATACAGAGCATTGAGAAAGACAGCACAGGTACAGCATGAATCAGCATTACATGGCATGTCAATTCAAGTTCAATAGGCTTCCAGCCCACACCTTACGTTGCACCAAGGTAACTAATTCCTGGTAATCTAGATCTTGATACATGATAGTGGCAATTTTGAGAACTGGAATCCCTGGACCCTAGCATGTTAAGGGCCTATGTTGCAATAGCCTCCACCTTTAGAATCAACCCTCCTACCACCACCATCACATCTTCCCTTTCACACAAAAAATTATTGGGTGGCAGCTGCATCTGCAACAATGAGTAGCTTCCCATGGCACCTAAGTCCTTATCACAGGTCCAAGAGTCCTGGGAGGCTGCATTTTCCAGGGATCCTGGTGCTATAAAGATGTTCAGAAACCCCAGAAAGCACTATGCTCCAGGGGCCTCATTCCTGTAAAGCTGTTGCACTGTTTTTCAATATAATGGGGGGCCCAGCACAAGTCCTCCTTGCCACAAATTCCCTTAAGCTGTCACAACCAGTACCAGGCAAATTTGGGGGAAGAGAAGGGAATGTTCTGGAAGACAGAAGAATAGATCTAGGAGAGAAACTTTGCCACCCTCGTATCATAGGACATAGGATTATGTCATAGGATGGACTCAAAAGTATTGTGAGCTAGTTTTCCAAGTTTGGAAAAAATCATTAATTTTAGCCAGAACTGTTCCACATCTGGTTAAGGGACACCTGGCACCACTTTCCCAGCACTTCTTCAATGTCTGTGTTCTCCATCCAGGAATTCACTCATGTTGTAGAGGAAATGTTTGGATTATCTACCAAGAAATGTTCAAATTTTTCTCCTGTGAGAAGCACAAGAAGTATCCATGACCTCTACCTCGAGCAGGGCAGTTACTTGATAGGCAATCTTTCCCACAGAACTACAAACAGTGCCCTTACAGAACACAGAGAAAATGCCAGGGCTCTAGGACAGAATTAGCCTGATCTTTCTGACCCCAAAGGAACCAGGCAATATCTCATTCCCTATCGGGAAGATTTCAGCAGCTGTGAAAGCCCTTACTCAAGATTTGCAAGGCTCCTCAGAAGTTCACTCCAGATCCCCTTATATGGGATATTCAAAGGCACATTCATCACAGCAGAGACTGGGCTCACTTACTTCCAGATAGAGATGTCAAACTCTTAATCTAAGCTAGAGAAAGAGGTGGGGTGGGAATGTGTAGCAGAAGTGGCAAGGTTAATGAGATGGGGGAGGGAGGAAGCCAAGTAACTGGTGAAAACCAGACTACCTCTAATCTGGGAGGAGACCCTGGAGAACAGGGAAGGTCAGAGGGGGGTGAATTTATCAGCACAATGGTTCATTGTCAAGTTAAACAAGTGGATCAATTCTGTAACACCTGGGATTTCTGCCATCCAGGTTCCATGATCCTACCAGCTTTGTTTGGAGGGGAAGGGAGGAGAGGAATTCAGTTCAGAATCAACTTCTGACATGGGCAAGAACTCTATAAATTAGAGGAATCATTAACTTGATAGATGCTTCCTGCTAACGACTTTTGCATTATTCATGCTCTATGGCAAAGCACTGTGGTTTGAAGCCTTTTGCCTTGATCTGCTAGAAAGCAAAAAGGGGAGAGACATGCTCATGACAGCCACCCTCATTCGACCCAAAGACAGTTCTCCAGTCACCAAAAATGACATGCTTGTTCAATAGGCTACTTATTTAGCATTAAAATTCAGCCCACAAGTTCAGGCAACTGCCTTATTTCATCCAAAAGATGTACTTTGCTAAGATGTACTTTGCTCTGAATGGCTCAGTTTTATCAATTAGGCTTGTTCCTTTGGAAGCTTCCAAATAGGGTGGCCACTTATGAATTTCCAAAAGAAAGGAAATGCACTGAAAAGGTGTTCGACAAAAGATACCAATCTGCATAAATTCTGCATAGGCTAATTTATCCATCTAGGTACAGATGTTGATATTATTATAATTTAAAAACAGAGTACAACATCAAGTGGAAGACTGTGACCAGATTACTTGTTTTTCTTACCCAGTCAGCTGTCCAGGTGACTGGGTGACTGGTGGGCAATTTCCAGGGTCCATCTCTTACTATTTTTTTTCAAAAAATTAAACCAGACTTTGTCTGGGCAGCCCCTCAAATAGAGGAGACCTTCAACATAAAGTACAATCCCTTGGCAGCCACTTAAAGAGAAGATAGACATCTGCAAAAGAAGACAGTTGTCTATCCTGACCAAATCCATTGCAGGGATTCAGCTCGGAGGCCTGAACACCAGCAAACTTTGCCTGAACTAACCAGCTTCTCAATCAGGCACATTTGTAGTTTCATTTAATACTGCAATTACCAAAGAGATATAACGACGGGCAGCATTTATTCCTGTTGGAAGAAGAAAGAAATCCTTCAGATTTCCCTGTGCACCAAACTGAAACACTCTTTCATTATACCAGAAATGTGAGGGATGTCATTTATTTTTCATTGCCATTTATAATTATAAAAGAGGATGACAAAGGTCTAGGTTTTTCTGGTTTACTTTTTTCCTGTGACTTGTTTCAGAATCACAGCACAGACCACAAGCAAATTTGAAACCGTTCATCAGTTAAACCAGTTGAAGCACAATCTGTGAACTTTGTTCTCCTTAAAAGGAAGGACAAAGAGAGAAATGAAGACAATAGTTGCTTCTTTATCCTCCTTTGAAATGTTCTTCCTCTTGGCCTCTTTTTAAAAAATGAACAGTAAAATGACTAACTCCTCTAAGTTCTCTATAATAAGGAGTAGGATCACATGCAGGAATATATAAATGCATCTAGTTACAGATACAGACTCTGTGGTAAAGCAAGTGCATTATTATTTCTCCTGAGCTTTTATTCCAGAGAACTGAGCGGGTGAGAGGGTGTCAGATTCTGCACTATCTACAGCTAACCCTCTTTGGAGTATGGAAATCAACTATAAAAGTCACTGCTAAGACTCACATGTTGGTCTTGTCATACATTTTCATGGATTCCTCCTATAACCTAGTTATAAAAACCTAGCACAGTTCCGCTCAGCAAATCATAAAGAAGATGATTCAGAAGAACTCATTAAATGGCACCACAACTGGCCATAGTGCCAGCCAATGAAGTCCTTAAAGCAAACTCATTGTGAGCAGATGAAGAGGCATACCATTAAAAATAGACTTCATGAAAACTAGCAAGGAGGAAACAATGCAGGGCATGTGATACTACTTTCATCGCCAAGCAGATGTGCACCCAGCAGTTAACTGCCTGCTGTGTAACATTAAAAATGTGGCCACAATGTGCTAAGAGAATGGGAAATCTATGGTACATTAAACTTTCCTGATTCAGACCACGTACTTACACATAGACATTTCAGCCTAATCCTCATTAAGAAGACAAAGAAGGCCTAGACATGCATCCACCACTTACCACTTCAGGGAGTCCTAGGATGGGGCTCAGAATCCAAGAAAGTTAACAAGTTAGGATGGAGGCGGGGGGAAGCAACCTTGTCCACCGTTAAGTTGTACTGACGAAGATAAAACTTAAAACTAAATGAGGAGAATGCAGCCATGCAACATAGTATGTCACAGCCCTGCATTTTTATGGAAGAGACAAATATAAAAGAAGATCACAAGGGTACTTCCAGGGAGACTCTCCTGAAAAATATCTCTTAATGGGCTATTAGAAGAATAATTCTGTGAATGTTTATGCAATTCCCACTCTATTCAACTGGCTTATTTCCAGGTAAGTGTGCACAGAATGGAACCCTAAATTAAATTCTAAAATGATGTAGTCAAAATGGATGGGAGAGCAGGAATTCTGAGAGGGGGGAGAGATGATTTTCAGTCCATGTAGAATCCAAATCTTTACAATCACAGACCTGGAACAAGTGGACTAGCTGTAACCTATTAATAGAAGGCCATGCATGTAGACTTATGTAGATCATTTCCAATGATTATTTCAGAAGATTGCTTTGTAGTGTTGTTGAACAACCCTGGCTAGCTGAGCCTTGACTTCCCAACAGGAACTACAGTTTTAGGTGCATCTGAAAGAAGCTGTTTCTGTCATTAGCATAAATGCACTGCTCACAGGTTACACAATCTGGCCAAATTGCTTCAGCACTCTTACTTGCGCTCTAAAACTAGGATGCTCGAACCCATAGGATTCCAAGATTATGTCTCTTAGCAAAGGTGAGGATCACCATTGTATAGAATACTGTGCTGTGAAATTGTTTCCCCTGTTAGAGTGAACTTGACACTTCCAGATTTGACTGATTCACCATTCAGTCTTACCTTGTCACTGAGACATTCCGATTCTTCTGATAGGAGGTACACGGTCCCACCTTCAGCCATAAGGATAGCAGTGTCCGTGGTGGATGAAGATCTTGGCCGGCCTTGGTGCTGATGCAGTATTGCTGTCAGGCTACTATCCTGAGGGGCCTTACGGACAAGATGTGGGCTGCTTTTCTGGGGTTCCAAGGACCCACTCTTGGTTCGTCGGCTGCCACTGTGCAAACTGGTTCCCCTCTTGATGGAAGGACGGGAGCGGATCTGCTGTAACACCCTGTTGAAGGCAGTGGGTCGAGCTGGGAGATCATGGAGAGACATGGCATAGGAGACACGGTGCATCTCAGGAGAGCGTTCTTTTTCATCAGGGGAGTCATGGTCAGACATGCCATGGTGCTGCTGTGATGACTCCTGGGAGTTCTGGTGCTCCCGTTCTCGAGAACGTCTGCGGCTATGGAAAAGATGCTTGAGGCCATGGCCAAACATAGATCCTTCAGACAACTGTTGTATCTTCTGCGTGAAAGAAGAGAGACCAAAATATTGGGAAAAAAGTGTTACAGCAGGGGCTACACAAGGTTTATCTTGAAGAACGCAGGCAACACATAACACAGATGGAAAAAGGAGCTTGTAAGAACATCATAATCCTGCAACCACATTTTCTGTGCAGGCCAACTGGTGTAGCTCTTTTGAAGTCCAGGCTCACCCACACATTACAATCTGGTATACATTTGAAATGTGAAGACCATGAAGCTTGGGACTATGCCACATCTTCACACTGAAGAAGGCCTGGATTGCTCTGTCTGCAAAAGTATTATTATTCAGCCATCCTCTTAAGACCACCTACTTTAATTAGCCTTTTGTAAGGGCACCTCCACTGATGAGGGCAGGGAGGAAGGCTTGTGGCTTTGGATCATAATGGTTTTAAAACTCCTAATGACTAGAAGAGCTGGGATTAATTGTGCAGCCTCTTAACACCATAGGGACTATTGCAATGTATACCATAGTTTGTCCTCTACAGAGCCACATTTCTTACAGGATAGCAATGATGCATATAGATCATTCTGATGTATTATTCAATACATGAGCTTATAAGCAATCTCCACTGTCATGACTCATTACTCTAAAGGTGACCACTGCAGCTCGTCATAGAATCACCAAGTGTAAGTTGACCAACGTAACAGTGCATATCTGAGGCTGGCCGTCCTTCAAGTGCCATAGCCAAGGGAAGCTAAGAGGGTGCCATCAAGAAAAAGGGCCTTCTCAATGGTACCCTGCCTTTTAAGGAATGATCACCCTACTGAAACTTGCCTGCTGCCAGCTCAGCCATCTTTTCAGCACCAGGTTAAAGCTGCCTTCTCTCCAAAGCATTTAACGGCATTTAAGGTCGCTCAAATGATGGGGCATTTATATCAGCTGCTTCTGTAAAATTATTTTTTTTAAATTTTGCATATTGGGAAAAAAGCTATTTTATGCTGTTTTTCTTATATTTCTGTACTGTGTTTTATGAATTGTTGGGAAATACCCAGAAAGCTTTGGCTACTGAGTGGTGTAGATATTAAATAAATAAAGTGCAACTGATTTGGGAACTCAGCCATGTTCACTTTTTGCAGGTAACTGTTCAATTTGCAATAGTGTTCCCCAAAATAGGAGAAATCCCTCCTTTAAATATGTTTAAAGAAGAGCTATTCCCCCAAAACTGAACTTGCAAGCTCTAGGTACTCCTTGCTCTACCAGGGACACACCTTTGCTAAAGCTAGGGGTTCACTAGCTTTTCTTTCATCTTAGGCTAAAGAACAGCAGCATGTTCTGCTGCTTCTGCTGAACTACAAAACAAGCTAAGGTTACACAAACTCAAGGCAAACTTAACTGGGATGCAACTTATACAAGGCAAGGGGAATGTAAGCCAATCCAATGCCAAGTACATAAGCAGGCCATCACTAACTTTACAAAAGACATTGTTTAAAAGGGTTTAGCAGAGAAGCAGGAGATTTTCCTTTCTTCTGGATCTTAAAGGTTAAATGTTTTAAGGCCAATTACCTCACACCCCAAGTAATATGGGGCATGCAGAATTGCTAGAATTACAGAAAAAATGCTGAGCATGGTGGTCTTACAATGTTGAATAGGATAAGGTGCAAAAATCTTGAGTATTTATCTCCCAGGCATCTAAAAATTTAATACATGTAAGAACTGAGACTGGGAATAAATGGTAAATTCTCCCAATGAAAGAATTTAACAGTGGGGTCCCATGAGGATCTGCACTGGGACTAATGCTTTTCATAAATGATGTGGAATTAGGAGTAAAGTTTTCCAATTTGCTGAAGATGCTGAATTATTTTGGATGGTTAAAACAAAAAGGGATTGAGAGGAGCTCTAAAAGAATAATTCCAGACTAAAAGAATGAGCATCAAAATGGCAAATGTGGGTTCAGAGTAAGCAGGCATAAATGTGTAAGGTGATAGGATCTGAGCTAGCAGTGAATGGCCAAGAAGGTGATATCTGGGTTGTTGTAGACAGCCTAATGAAAAGGTAGATGCAGTGTACAGCTGATCTGAAAATGGCAAATTCCATGTTAGGGATAATTAGGGGAAGAACTGAATGTAAACCTGTCAAAATAATAATACCATATATCAATATATGGTGTAACCATACTTGGAATAATGTGTACAGTTCTGGTCACTGCACCTAAAAAAGCATGACACAGAGTCAGGAAAAGTATAGAAAAGGACACTTAATATCATGGCGCTAGAGCAACTTCTGTATAAGGAAAGACTACAACTGCTGGGAATCTTTAGCTTAGAAAAAATGCTGAGTAAGGAGACATGATAGAGATGTACAAAACTATGCAAGGTGCAGATAAAGCAGGTAGGGAAATATTTTTCTCCCTCTCTCATACTATGAGAAGCCAGGGTCATCCCATGAAGCTGACTGGTGGAGGATTCAGAACAGATAAAAGGAAGCATTTCTTCACAGATCACACAATTAAACTATGGGATTCAATTCCACAAGCTGTAGTGATAGCCACCAATCTGGATGATTTTAAAAGATTAGGGAAATTAAGGGAGGATGAAGCTATCAATAGCTACTAGTCCTGATGGCTATATTATTTCCAGTATCAGAAGCAATATGCCTATGTATGGTTGTTGCTAGGGAACATGGGCAGGAAGGCACTTTTGCAATTGTATCTTGTTTGTGGGTTTTCTGCGAACAGAATGCTAGATTAGATGAACCTTGGTTTGATTCAGCATGGCCCTTCTCCTGCTCTTAATTTTATATATGCTACTTATAACCAAAATAAGCTTCCTTTTGGAACTACCAGATGGATTTTTACAGAAAGTAGAAAAATAGAAATGCATGAAAAATAATGCTTGGAGCCCCAGGAAAAATCTGTGAATGATTAAAAGAGATTTCATGATAGAAGCCTGGAAACACCCAAATTGTTCGTCCTGCCATATCAGGTGATATATCAAAGCAGTTAAACAAATGATTGCTCCAGCAGAATCACCACACTGGGGGAACTTATCATGCTAGTTGAAATGGTAATTAAATTGCTAATGATATTTGAAAATAAGAACAAATTTATCCCATACCTGTGTCTCCTTCACATAGCTCTTACTAAGATCTATCTTGTTCACTCTGGGCCTCTACTTGAAGCATACAGTGATTTCTTCAAGAGAGACAGACAACCTACTCAGATAGTTGTTCCCACCCCGTAATTCTCATAATTTGTCACTTCCAAGCTACAGTATGTTGTGAACTCTGGGTTGCCATAATCGGGTCATCAATCTGTGGTGTTTCTGAGCATGCTTTGGGTAGTCGTGGAATCTGGATCAAAGGATAATTCCACCCAGGATCACAGTCAGTTACTGTAAGTCCTTTCTAATTCAGATGCTAAATGTTCCCCATGGACAAAAAGAAAGTATTTAGCTAACACAGAAGTAAAGTAATTTCCTCATGAATTAACTAAGCTGTGGGATAAGGATTCAAATTGCCTTATACGCATTTGGATCAGTTCCTTTGAAGAGTGATGACAAAGGAAATTTAGCACATGTGTTTCTCCAAAGGGCTAAAGGTATTTGACAATGGGTTACTTCTCATTTTTGTTTCTTCGCTGTAGAAAGATTAACCTGTAATACTGTTTCATTATTAATAAGCCATATTGACCCTGGTTATATAGAGTCATTAATACGTAACAGCCCTAACAATGCTGAGCTCTCCTGAAAGAATCTGACAAATGGTGACACAATAGGAGCTGTAGTCTGAAGAGAATTCAGGGAAATCTGACCTAAGCAGCCCTCTGCCAAGAATCCTGCACCAGCACTCGCTTCTAATTGAATTCATGAATCTGTCTCAAGGAACAGATCGGAGGATTTAAGAGTCCACTGATAGTGCAAGAAGGGGCATTCAGATCTGACAGTGGATGAGACCGATGTGTCCTTGCATGATCAGGGCTTCCTTAAAAATTGTATTTGCCTGAATATGTTAAGCTGAAACAAGCTCACATTATCTAATAAATCATGTATTCTGTCCAAGCACTAAGCCAAGCATAAGAGCAGGAAGGAAAATAAGTCGAGCAGGGTCAAAGCCAAGGCAGGAAACAGAGCAGGAAACAGGCAGATGCTGAGAAACACAGCATGAGGCCCAGAACCAATGGACAAGTTAGACCGACTTTCTTCAGAAAGAGACACAGGGACAAACATGAACAGGAAGAGGTAGAGGGACTCAAGATAAAGGGCTACTTAAATTACTAGAGCTCAGGAAGCATAGACTACTAGCATGAAGGCAGGTAGTCTGCAACTGGACATTCGCTGGACCCAATGATCTTCTGCCTGCTTCCAACTCTGAAGGACATACAAAAAGTTTAAGTGCTATTCCAAGAACCCTCCAGATTAGGATGACCACTAATGCATTGCTAAAAAAAAAAAAAAAAAGAGGAAACCAGAAAAAAAGAGCAAAGAGGGCACAACTTTGCGTAAAACTGACAGGTACAGTTTAATAGGCTAAGATGCAAATTTAGAAATTATTTTAATTTAAATACAAATACAGTACTTTTTACTGTAGTGTGGAAGACCAACTACAACTTGGGGTGCAAGTTCGATTTTGGGAAAGCTTTCAGGGAGCTACATTCCACTGGTCAGTGGAGCCAAAATACCAGCATTTTCTAGTTTAAAGCTCATCTAACTGCAGTTAAGCCTTAGGCAAAGTAGCCGGATCTTCTGGAACTGGGAAGGCAGATTGGGAATATAAAAGCTAGGGAGCCACCATGCAGTCAGGGAGGAAACTGGGGCCAGGGGGAAGATGCATGATCCTCTGAGAACCTCAGCTCTTTCCTTGGGTTCCAAAGCAGGCCAGGACTGGCCTCCAGGCCTGATGTTTGACACCCCTTCTCCAAGGCACGGTGTGAAATTTACCCCTGGCTTGCACGCAGGATCTCAGGGTGCAAGCCAGGATTGATGCAGGTAGAGTTTTCAACAGCTCTCCTTCCTCCATGTTCAGGCAGCATGCCACTGAATACC